CAGTCTCTGTCAGACTCAGAATCTTTTGAAGAAAGAATGTCTTTGGTTTTGGAAAGTTTGATTATGGGGTGTGTCATTGTTCTTCTTTTGGGATCTATGCTTTATGGGGTTTGTTGTGCTTCTTGTATGGTTAGCTTCCTGTCTGTCGCGATATTAAGAAAGTTTTCTGTCAGCAGTCCTTCAATAATTCTCCCTGTACTTTTTGTTGACTCTCCCCCTTTGGAATTCTGATCATGTGTAAGTTATTCCTCTTGATTGCATCCCACATAACTCTTAGGCTTTCTTAAATTCTTTTTTTTTTTTTTTTTTTATTCCTCAAACAGATTAGTTTCAAGGAATTTGTCTTCTGTTCTGCTGATCATGTCTTCCATTGTTTCACTTCTATTCCTAGGACTTTCCATTGAGTTGTTAATTTCTGAAATTTTATTGTTAAGCTTCTGAATTTCTAGTTGCTGTTTTTATGTGGTTCCCAAATGTCTATTTATTTTGTCATTTTGTTCTTTTATTGTTTTCCTGAATTCTTCTAGTGTTTTTGTCTGTGCTTTCCTTGGTTTTATCTGTGTTTTCCTGAATTCCTTTGAGGACCCTATACATAAGTCTTCTGAATTCCTTTTCAGGAAGTTCCATTACCTTTTCTTCCTCAGGGAGGATTTCTGGTTTTTTATGTTGGTTGCTTGCTAGGTCCATCTTGCCCTGCTTCTTTCGGTGGTTTGCTGTTTTGTCTTGTCTCCAGGACATTAAGGGGTTGTTGTATTTATTTTTCAATTGTATAATTGTTTGCTGGGTCCTGTTTTTGTTTTGATGATTCCTGGCAGGTGTGGCTGGTGTGCTGCTCTGGTCGCTGGACTGGTCTTGCTGGGGTGCTCCCTTTCTCTGGGTTGGTGGAGCGGCGGGTAGTTGTGGGAGCTTGGGTCTCTGTTTACTGGTCTTGCAGGGTGGCTGAAGGTGGGATGGCCAGGCTTTAGCCTCTGTCTGTCTTTGGTTTGGTGGTGCAGGAGCAGGGAGTGGTGCTCTTCTTGTAGGTAGAGCCACTGGTGTGGTGGGTGTGGTGGGCGAGTGGGGCGTAGTTGTTACCTCTTGCCAGTTGGGGGAGGTGTGGGTGGTAGATGGGGGCATCAGGCAGACGTGCCCATAGTCGCTCTACCTCCACCTCCTCCTGGGCAGGAGGAGGGAGGAAGGAACAGCAGGCGGATGCTTGCTCAGTCACACCACATCTGTCTGTGGCAGGGAGAGGGAGGAAGGTGAAGCGGGTGGATGCACATGCACCCACTCCTCTTCTGATTTGTGCTGGGTAGGGGGAGGGAGGAAAGGGCCTCAGGGGGGACGTGTGGGCAGTTGTGGCTCCTCTGCCCCTGGCTAGGGAAGTTGAGGGAGTCATTCCTGGTGGATGCGTGCATAGTGGTGCCGCTTCCTGTCAGGCAGGGGAGGGAGGAAGGGACTACGGGAGGATGTGCACACAGGCACAGCTCCTCTGCCCCTTGCCGGTCAGGTTAAGGGATGGAGTTGCTCCTGGCGGGTGTGCACACAGTGGTGCTACCTTGGGTCAGGTGGGGAGAGGGAAGAGAGGGTATAGGGGGATGCTGTGCACAGTTGTGGCTCCTCTGTCCCTCGCTGGGTAGGTTAAGGAAGAAAGTCGTGCCTGGCAGATGTGCACACGGTGGTGATGCCACCACCTCACGCCGGGTAGGGGGAAGGAGGAGGTAACAGCAGGCAGGCTCTCTCGCTGCCTCACCACCCCTGCCCTCCACTGAGCCCTTAGGGGAGTGTAAGTGGCAGGCGGGCGTACGCATGGGGGCATGCCTAGTCTCGCTTGTCAGGTGGGCAGGGGAAGGTAGTGGATGGGTTGGGTAGGGTAAGGGGGAAGAGGACAGGCTCGTGTTGTGGTCCCCAAGTCTGGCGAGGCAGTGGGGTATGGGACCCTTTGCTGCCTCCAATCCGGGGGATGGGGTGAAGGGGAGTGCATCCCTCTGGCCAGGATACGTGGGTGCCGGGGCACCTTGTGTCCGCTGCAGCCAGTGAGTGGGACCTGTCCTCTCTCAAGTGTGAGGAGAGGTGGCTGCCTGGGGACCAGTTGGATGGGAGAGCTCCTGTCGGCACTCAGTGGGTCCACTGCCTTGTGCACTCCACTCACCCCTGAGGTTGGGGGCCGCTGCTCCTGAGTATCTCCGGTTCTAGATGCCAGCGCCCTCCCTGTCTCTGCTTCATTCCATGTGTATCTGTAGAGTTTCTCTGTCCCTTTTGGGATCGTCATGAAGTCGCCTTGCTGTTTTCTTCACCCGGAATCACTGCTGGCTTTGTCCTAAAATGGCTGTGTTGGGCCGGGATGGCCGGCTGAGCTCCTCCATTCTGGGTTACTCCTCTTTCACTGCTTTCACTCACTTTTTCCTTCCAGCCGGTGTTCGATTCAGTTCTTAGACCTTCTTCTTTGATGTTCAGGGTTCCCAGATTGTTGTCTGCTTCTGTTTTGCTTAATTTTTTGGGTCTTAGGTGCAGGGGGATGTTATGGTGCCTCCATCTTGGCTCTGCCTCCATTAGGTTTTTTAAAACAGATAACATTAGGTGATGGCAGGGACTAGTGCAAGGGATTAATAGTCCTTTTCCTGTTTAGCTGGTTACACTTGGTTTAAGGCTTTCATTGACTTCAGCTTTAGATGGTATCGAGGAGGCTTAGGTAAAGATTGAGAAGAATCATTCTGGACTCTCTTGACCTTTCTCCATTTATTTTGCTGTGTCCATGGAATCTTTGGCCCACAAGGGTTCTAGGACTATAGTTAATCCTTTGGTTATTTCTTGAATCATACGTGGTACAGACAAATTAATATTCAGTTAAGCTATAATTTGATTGTGTACAGGAGAATTTTCTGGGAGTTCTAAAAATAATCTTTCTGCAGTACATTTCATCTGGCAATTCAGTTTGCAAAATACATCTCTTATCTATTAAATTTTGCAGGGGTTGTGCAACCCAGAGCAGAGAGAGTGTTCCTCATGGCCCCAGAGTAACAGTTACAGGTTAGCAGAAGTGAAAGATGCTGAGCGTCTTTCTTTCCTGAGTGAGCACTCTAGTGCTAAGGTGGAAATCTGAACAAATTGAAAGCACAGAACTGTGCTTTAGATAAGCTGTGGGACAGATGGGGAATTTCTCACTTGGAGCTGTTTGCTTCACGGTGGACCAACAGGTTATAGCAGGTCATAGCGCTCGGTGGAAAGTGAAACTGCACCCGCATGCCTTGCCATTCTTTTTCTGAGACTGGGCTTCCCCACAGTGGGGCATGTTCACTCCAGGAGGACCTTATCTAACCTGAGTGGGAGGCAAGCTTGCGGGTAAGGGCACGGCAGATTGTAAGCAAGATGGGAACATCTCCCAGGAGTTACTTTGATGCTACCAAGGAGGAGGATGGGCTCACCTCTGTCATGCAGCCCTCAGGTCACAGGCCACCTCTCTCTAACCTGGCTTCTCACCACAGAAGCCCCATCAACCCACAGTGGAAACGAGACTGAATTCTCGGAGCCACTTCCCGGCGGGACTGGGCATTCCCTCCTCCCAGGAGAACTGACTCACCTGTGAGGGGCTTTCCGTAAACAGTTCACAAAGATAGAATCCCCAGATTGGGATTACCCATGGCCCTTGTCCCTTCCCCAAACCTGACAGCTGGAGAGGTGAACTAATAAGAGACCTACCACAGCTACCCCAGGCAAATACAAGGCAACAAAAACCAAAAGACAAAACAGGGTCACAGTATTAATATCAAAAGAAATGTATATAGTTGCTGATTTTCCTTACCCCAAAAAGAAACCCTGCTCCCTTAGCTGTCACTACCCCACCCCCCACCCCCCAGCCTTACCGCCTACCCCTCAGTCTCCCAGGCCTAAAAACAAAACAAAAACCAAACCCGTTGCCGTCCACTTGATTCCGACTTCAAGTGACCCTGTAGGACATAGTAGAACTGCCTTACAGGGTTTCCTAGGCTGTAATCTTTATGGGTACAGACTGCCACATTTTTCTCCCTCGGAGTGGCTGCTGGATTTGAACTGCTGACCTTTTGGTTAGCAGCCGAGTGCTTAACCACTGTGCCACCAGGGCTCCTAGCCTTTTCTGGATGTTTCGTATAAGTGGAATCATACGGTGTGTGACCTTTTGTGACTAACTTCTTTCATTTAACGGTGTTTTCAACACCATCTATGTTGTAGCATTATCAGAACTTCATATCTTTTTATTGCCAAATATTCCATTGTATGGCTATACCATATTGTATTTATCCAGTCATCAGTTGATGGACATTTGGGTTATTTCCACTTTTTGGCTATTGTAAATAATGCTGCTGTGAACATTGGTGTACAAGGTTTTACATGAACATATGTTTCCATTTCTCTTGGCAGTTCCACCTAGGAGTAGAGTTGCTTCGTCATATGGAAACTCTTTGTTTAACTGTTCGAGGAACTGCCAGACTGTTCTCTAAAGAAGCTACATCATTTTATGTTCTCTTTAGCAGTGTGTGAGTTTTTTCAGAATCCATTTTCATACCCTCTTGTTTGACCTCATGTGATTTCAGTTTGCTTTTGTGATTAAAAGTCATTAGCAAGTACTAACGGGATTGAAGGCAGATTTTAGGGTCATTGTTCCTGGATATGATAATCAGCCTTCACCTTACGTTTGGATCCTGACTGCCCACAACTGTTGGGTCTGTGTACGCTGGGAGCCTGGTGTCCACTCACAGTGCTCTGGTCAGGGTGCAGACGTGCTCAAGTGAACATACTGTGTCCCGTTACGGAGGCATTTGCTAATCCCAGTGGACGTTACTCACTGATTTAGCAACATGTTGTGGTTGGCGGTCTTCTGGGCTATCAACTCTGTGATAAAACCACATTTTAATGCCTTCTTTGCTCTTCTGTGTTTTCACTAGGTCTGTTAGAGAAACAGCAACAAATACCCAGTTCTGGACAGACTTCTAGATGCTGATGTAACTGCAATTTTGACACTTCATTTTGTCTCTCTACTGCAGATGTGGCTGCCATAGCCTGTGGCCGCGAATTCTTGGTGAACTCCAGCCGGGTGCTCTTGGACACCATACTGCAGCTTCTGGGGGACTTGAAGCCAGGACAGTGCACCAAACTCAAAGTGTATGCTGTTTGTTTTATAAGAAAGCTAATGGTTATTCTCAGAGTATTTGGAATATGCCGATTTGGCCCTCTTTTCAAGTAAACTCAGAAAATTTGGCAATGGTTCTAAAAAACAGAAGAAGCAAATTGCCTGGAGAATTAAGGGGCACACTGTCTATTAAATACTATTTTGGAAAAAAATGTAAACAAAAGGAATGCCGTCAACTTAGAGCAATCAGTGAGTTCCAAATGCTATCGAGTGACACTTCAGGGTTATATTAATTATCTCAAAATGCACTTAAATTTAGTTCTTTTCAATAAAGTTACGTGCACGAAATGCAAATAATTGCAATAGTCATGTGATGAATTCTCTGCTAAGGGCAGAACAGTGCAAAGCAGTACATTTTTATTCACTTATTTTGACAGGGCTGCAATAAACAGATCACATTCCAATGAAAAATTTTTACCACGATGCAATGTATGCAGCAGGCGTTTCTGACCCTTTCCTCATCCTTGCTTTGTCCCGGAGCCTCCCTGCAAAGAATGCAGGATGGGGTGAGATACCTGCCACATATATTGCTTGGATTAAAAAACAGACAAACCAACCCTAAAACTCAAGTTGTGATGGTTTGTTTTGGGATGGCAGCCATTTTGCTGCCATTGCTGCATCAGAGCGGCGTGTACAGCGTACAGTGGAAACACAGGAGGGCCACGTGCCGCACTGAGAGCCAGGACATGCTTCCCTGGGGGAAGAAGGCACCTCTCAGCCGTGATGTTAGGGCAGGTATGACGAAACCAGGTGATTGCAGGGTGAGGAGCACCCCAAGAAGCAGGAATAGACCGTGCAGAGGAGCAGGTTTAGGCCTGAAGACGGTAAGGGCAGGCCTCCTGGCGTCAGGATTGTTGCCGTGGGCGGCGGGCGGCTGCCGTCCTCAGAATGAGGTTGTTGAGCACTTGCCATGTGTGGTCACTGTTCCCAGTGCCGATGTGTGTTGTTTAGTGCCCCCACCTCCCCATGGGCTAGGCGTTGTTGTTACCTCCATTTTACAGATGAGGAAACTGAGGGACAGAGAAGTTAACACATCTTGCTCAGGGTCACAAAACCATTCATTGACAGGGCCAGAAAATGAACTTGTGTAGTCTGGATCGAGACACCAAATCTGAGTAATTTGAGAAAATCAAAATGTCTTTCTACCAAGTAGCTTGTTTCTGTTCCCATTGGGTACTTGTAGATAGAATGCTGTAATATTATTTTTATCAGAGACTGAGGAAATGTAGAAATAAAATGATAGCTGATTCAGCAATGTTTTTGTAGCACTCACGCTGTTTTTAACTGCTGGGCTAGTCCTTGGCCCCAAGAAACTCATAGTCTGGGGAGAAAGGTAGCTCAAACAGAATTAATTGCACTACCATGCTATATGTTAGCATGGGTGTATGCCGCATGCTTAATGAACACCGAGGAAGATACACCGAATTGTGCTCAGACGTCAGGGAAGTCGCCTCAGAGGAAGTGATGTTTGGGTAACCTTGAAGAAAACCTCAGTAGGCGTGGTAGAAGGAGGTAAGGAGGCTGGAAGCGTTTGCCATGCAAGCGAAATTTATTTGCAAAGAAGCAAAAGAATGAATTTTGTTTGAGGGCACCCAAGTATTTGGGTTATCAGGAGGGATCAGTCCCTGGAGAAGGACCTCATGCTTGGTAAAGTAGAGGGTCAGTGAGAAAGAGGAAGACCCTCAACGAGATGGATTGTAACAGTGGGCTCAAGCATAACAACGACTGTGAGGATGGCGCAGGACCGGGCGGTGTTTCATTCTGTTGTACATGGGGTCGCTATCAGTTGGAACCACTCAGCAGCACCCAACAACAACAACAGCAGCAACACCAAGGGTTTGGATGTGGTTGAGGAGCAGTCGTGTGTGTGTCTTTCATGTATTTGCCATTACAGGCGTGTGGGGTCATGTAGGGGCCTTAGTATGTTGTGCCAAGGAGATGGTTTTATCCTGTAGGTAATGGAAACCTTTGAAAGATATTAAGCAGGGATTAATGTGATCATGTGTGAATTTCAGAAAATGGAAATTATTAATTATTAATATAATAAAATTATTAACCTTAATTATTAATCTTATACATTAGAATTTATAAATTATTATATTTATAGAAAATAACTCTCTGGGCACAGTGTGGAAGATGAATTAGCTGGAGATGAGGCTGAGAGACCAGGTGGAGAGTTTATTTCAGTAGCTCTGTGTTGTAAATGTTATTTCTGTACTTAAGTCATTGGCTTGCCCCATGGAGAATTCTAATCCCCATCAGGACTGTTCTGCCCTAAAGGAGTTAGAACAGTTGTTGCAGTTGCGCTAATGGTTTGCCTTGAGCTAACGTGGCAGTGACTTCCTAGCTTAGAGTAGGCTTCTGTTCGGGCATTGGTATCTTCCAGTCTGTGCAGATGAACCCAGTCTGTAGTACCTGCTCTGCAGCCTAGTCTTTGTAAAACCTGGATTTAAATGGTCAACTCCAGCAGTAATCCTTCAGTAATCGTTCACATTCATGGATCATCTGGCAAAACTGCCGGAGACTGGTGGCAAAGTCAGGAACTTCTTAAGAGGGGTTCATAGAATATGATCATTTAAAAGTCAGCATATAATGAAATTTCATAGTAAATTACCTGTAGAAAAATACCCAGAATTTCTAAGTTCTTATTTTTTTATAGCTTTCTTTGCACCTGAAATCGTGTGAGGCTGTCAAAAAAACACCCCAAAGGCTATTACTGCTGCTGGTACAGCAAACAGCAGGCTTTGTGTTTGTGAGTCTTAGGTGATAACACGGATATTTTAAATACATGTTTGAGAACTCATCCAAGTGGAGCCCAATATCCTTGGTTCTTTTTCCCCCTCCCTTTTGCTTTGTGGAAAGTTTCCTTCTTTATATATATAACTTTATGGAAAGGTACCCGTCCAGCGCCCTGCAGCATCCTTATGGCATGCAGAGCAGGAGCATGACGTCCTTCTCCAGCTCTGTCCCCGTCTCCTCTGAAGGCCCTGGCTCCTGCTACCCTGCTTGTTTCTGTTGGTCCCTGCCCTTACTGTCTTTCTATGACACCTGTGAGGCACATGTGTTCTTTCAGCTCTTATGTTATCATCCTGGCCCCCGATGGTTCATCTCGATGTCCCTTTACAAATGACCTTAATTTTGGACCAAGACGTCTGATTCAGCCTGACCCAGTGACCCCGACTCCCGGAGCTGCAGGCTATGAAAGTGACCATCTGGAAGCCCCAGTTGTTCTCCATCTTGGCCTCAAATTTCTTAACACTTAGCACCACACTTCCAGGTCTTAAGCAGTCTTTCTTGCTTCTTCTCTCATCTACCATCCGTTTTGGGCCTTGCCCCTCCTTGTTCCTGCTGCTGCGTGGTATTACCTCTTCCCCTTTACCCTCCTTCTTCCTCCACGGATAGATCTGTCCCTTCTCAGTCCCCCGCACGCTGGCTCCCAGCATTCTGCAAGAGGTGTAGGTTGCCGTGACTGGCGCTCCCAGGAGGTTATCTTGGGCTTGGAGTGGACCTCACTATGCTTGTACTCTTTGCTTACTTTAGGTTTGCCCTTTGCTTTGGGCTTTGCCTTGACTCAGATCTTATGTTTGCTGAACTGCTTTTAGAACGGACCTCCAGCATGTTCTGTTTTTGCTTTCACAGTTCTCGCTAGACAAAACCTGTCTCCAGGAAACACGATGAAGAGTTGATCTCCCACTTCTGCCCTGCCAAGTCTTGCCCACTGTCCCCTCTCCCTTGTGGGGCAGGGTTTCTCATCCTTAGCCCTATTGACATTTTGAGCCAGATAATTCTTTATGGTGGGGGGCTGCCCTGTACATCGTGGAGTGTTGAGCAGCACCCCTGGCCTCTCCCCCCTAAATGCTGGTAGCACCCCTTCTTCCAGTTGTGACTACCAAAAATGTCTTCAGACATTGCCAAATGTCCCCTGGTGGGCAGAACTGTCCCTGGCTGAGAACCACTGCCCTGGGGCATTAATACTCACGCTCTCCTAGAGTTCTGATGAGGCTTCAGGAGGTGTCTAGTTTCTTCAGCCAGATCTGGAGGTACCCATGTCCCACAAAGGTTTTGTGTGTCACTGTCCCCTTGAGGGCTCATGTGTAAGGCGCCGGCCTGTGACTATGTAGAGATCCAGGGTCCAGCATGTCTGGTGTCATAGACTGAACTGTGTCTTCTCAAAATATCTGTCAACTTGGCTGGGTCATAATTCCCAGTATTGTATGATTGTGTACCATTTTGTCATCTGATGTGACTTCCTTATGTGTTGTAAACTCTATCACTGTGATGTAATACGATGGATTAGTGGCAGTTATACTGATGAGGTCTACAAGATTAGATAGTATCTTAAGCCAGTCTCTTTTGAGGTATAAAGGGGAGAAGTGAGTAGAGACACATGGGAACCTCACACCACCGAGAAAGCAGTGCCAGGAGCAGAGCGTGTCCTTTGGACCTGAGGTTCCTACGCTGAGATGCTCTCAGACCAAGGGAAGACTGATGCATCACAAGGAACTTCCTCCAGAGCCGACAGAGAGAGAAAGTCTTCTCCTGGAGCTGATGCCCTGAATTTGGACTTGTAGCCTACTGGACTGTGAGAGAATAAATTTCTCTTTGTTAAAGCCATCTGCTTGTGGTATTTCCTTTATAGCAAAGACATGGGGATCTTTCAGGGCTGTTGCATTCCCTCAGAAACCACACCAGGCATTAGAGCACTAAGTGAAGTGTGCTGATGTAGAAAAATAGCTTGACTGAGGCGTAGTGACTATACGATAAACTGCACATACTTAATGTGAACAATTTGTTAAGTTTTGATGTGTACCCCTGTGAAGCCATCACTATTATCAAGATAATGAACCTACCCATCACCCCTAAAAGTTTAATCTCTTCCCCCAGCCCTTCCCAGCCCAACCCCTGTCCTCTGGCAACTGATCTACTTTCTGTTACTAAACATTAGTTTGCATTTCCTAGTATTCTATGTAAA